AAGGCCACAAGTCGAGAGATCAAGTTAATATTAGTGGACAACAAAGATGCCGTTTTGTTGACTTTCAAGCATTTGGGCACAAAATATACACCTCTGATTTTTCCCTATTCCCTCCACAACACCAGGGATGCGGGTACTGAAAAATGGGCATGCATAAGGAATTTATTTGAACGATTCATTACCTTACCCCTGAACTAAGGGTATCTCTTTCCTCTACTTTCATCTTCCTTCTGCACTAACAGAAAAGCACTTAGCAGATGAAGCTACAAAGAGCCAGAATTGGTAGGTGCGGAAGATTTGGAAGTTGCCTTGGCCTTCAGAAAGCTTGTGCTATGCAAAGTCAGCTGGGAAACACTTTCTCCCTGCTGTGAAAACAAAAATCACATTTTGCTGTGATCTGTCTTTGGCGGGATCCAGGTTAGGGTATATGACAAGCTGCTTCTAGGCAGCCGACTAGGAATGTCGACTAATAACTCACAACAGACAGGGATGATCCTGGCAGAGCTGCAAGATTCTAGATATGAAAAAGAGCAAACAATCTGTTGTGCTCACCATCCTATTAGCAGCAGCCTCGTATCTGGTTGATTCTTCAGTGCTCAAAACTCAATTATATGTTCAAATTCTAATTATGATATTACATGGGCTACTCACTTCACCTCTTTGGGTCTGTAAAGGATTATTGAAGAAGTAAATGAAATAAGACACAGAAAAATTCCCTCGTGAATTTAGTGCCTAACATAGTATTTGTTGAATGTCTGCAAATGGCAAAGGGGCCCAGCCCATTGTTCCCAGGTGCTTTTCCTCATCTCTCCTAGGCTTGATCTAGCCCAGCTGATCTGCTTCTCTCACCACTTTGGCCCTCTCTCCCTCCATCTGTCCTCCAAATGACCCAAATAATCAGCAGCTATTTATTATGCATCTAATATGTTCCAAGACAATGAGGATAAGCTGAGCCTGCTTGGTGGAAATTGCAGGGTGGAAATTTCCAAATATGCTGTTTACCGCTGGTGACATTAGCACCTAATGCAAAAATTTACAGACTTCATTGTTCCAGAATCACTTGAAATACTTGTTAATGTGCAGGTCCCCACCTCTCCACATCTCCTATCCCTAAGATTCTGCTTTAAGGGATCTAAGATAGAGGCCCTGAATCTGAATGTTTTTATTTTTTAAATGTCTTTATATACAAATACATTATTTTGCATAAATGCATAAATAGATTCATAGCAAACATACGGTGCTTTCGCGCTTTTTTTTATTGCTTAAATTATTACAAAGAGTTTTTTTGTAAGTTTTTTATCCTTTGTCTTCTGTTATCTCTTCCTTACATTAACAACCTGGTATGTTCCTTTTAATATTCTTATAATATTGTATATATAATTTACATAACACTCACATAATCATATACAATATATAACACATAATCATGCAGACATATACAAAGTTTTGGCATTGTCTTAAAAAAATAGTAACAGATATATGGGTGTTCCAAAAAATGTATACACAAACTTTAATAATTATAAAGGCAATGTTTATTAAAAATACATTTCATTTTCAAAATTGAACTATCAGCTATTAAAGTGTGTATACATTTTTGGGACACCCTGTATATTTTTCTGCAACTTATTTTTTTCATTTAATGATACTTAGGACAGAGTTTTCTGTGAGATGTACATTGGCAAAAAGTCTAAGGTTTCTTACCTCAGTAAACCACATAAATATAATTATTTTTTATGGCTACTATTACTATAGAGGTAAAAAGGGTTGAGAAGTATGGCCTAATGGAAATATTTCCAAATCAACAATTATTAATCAAATTCATTCATTGCAGAATCACCCCCAGGTGATTCTGATAGAAGTAATGTTGAATGTCTGCAACTGTTCTTAAGAAAGAACACTGATATAAAGATATTCAGGTGTATGCTGGGTCCATGGGTAAGCTTATTAATACATTAGCTTTCATGAAATGTAGAATTACAGGACATAAGAGCTGAAAGGAACCTTAACATTTCTCATGATAGATGAACTGAGTTTGAACAGGTGAAGTAATTTGCTTCAGCCATAAAGAAAATGAACAGACAAACTGAGAACAGAACTCAGACCTCTGGACTCATGATGCAAACATTAAATTTATAGATTTGGTTAGCAATATTTTATAAAGAGGGAAGAGATGCTATGTGCAAGGTAGAAAGAAAGCATTCAGGCGGCTTCATTTGTTGAAGTAGTTCATTTTTCCAGGAGCTGCCTTCTAAATTTGATTGAACAATGAATGAAAAATCAAAACTAGTTTCTAGATCCAGCTCTACCATAAACAAGCTGTGAGACCTTAATCATACCAATTCACCCTTCTGACCTGAGTTTCCACATAGTGAGTCAAGAAGTACTTACTGAACACCCACTAGGCAGTAAACAATATTTTATATGTTGGAGATAAATTAGGGTACTAGATATAAGAGTAGGGTCCATTCCCAAGAAATTTCCCGGAAGGTCTAGGACATGACTAGATGATATCTCGGGTCCTTTGGGCAGCTCTACCATTCGATTTATCTGTGGCAGTGGCTCACCCTCCCTACCTCTGCCCCGCCCCCTCTGTGACTACTGTTACTGATACCCAGACACCCTAACACAGTGGTTCTCAACCTTGGCTGCACATTAGAATCACCTGGGAATCTTTTTAAAATCCTGATTTCTGGGCCTCATCCTCCGGAAATTCTGTTTCTTTGTTACTAATGTGTGGCCCCACCCCATAACAAAGAAACAGAATTTCCGGAGGATGAGGCCCAGAAATCAGGATTTTAATAAGATTCCCAGGTGATTCTAATGTGCAGCCACGGTTGAGAACCACTGCCCTAACAGGAGCATATGTCGCTCTCTATTCTGCCACTGGCTACACTTCTAGGGGGTGGCAGAGGAGAGAAGGCACTGTGTGGTAGGCCAAATAATGGTACCCCAAAAAATGTTCACACTCTAATCCTGGAACCTTCAAACATGTTACTTCACATGACAAAGGGGACTTTGCAGATGTGATTAAAGTGAGGATTTTGAGAGGAGGAGAGTATCCTGGACTATGCAGGTGGGCTCGATGGAATCAGATGAATCCTTAATAGTGGAAGGCAGAAGCATTGCTGGCTTCTAAGATGGAGGAAGGAGTTCATGAGCCAAGGCATTTGAGTGGTTTCTAAAAGCTGGGGACAGCCCTTAGCTGACAGCCAGCAAGGAAATGGAGATACCACGAGGAACTGAATTCTGCTAACAACCTAAATGAACAAGAAAATGATTCTCCCAGAAAGCCTCCAAAAAAAGAACCTGGCCCTGCTGACATCTTTATTTTAGCCTAATGAGTTCTGACCTACAGAACTGTAAGGTAGTCACACTACCACCCATTATCCAGCTCACTGCCTTCCAAGCTCACCACCTAAGCTAACTCCAGCTAACTGTATCTAAAGTAATCACCCTTTCCCATATGATTATATGCTATTCAAAAGGCTGAATGGTCTGGGTATCCTTCAGATAATTACATCACAGTGTTGTTCTTTTATGATTCAAAGGATAAAAGTATTCTGTAGTTCAGGACACAAGAAGCATAACAAAAATAAATGTATATTTTGAGTCTCGGTGTAACTAAGACTATACATGCACATAGAGTCCCTTCTACCAAGAATGTCCTTCTCCCTCTCATTTTCCACTTGTCAAAGTTCAATCAATCTTTCGTGGCCAGTTTCAAATAATATGTCCTGAATAGATCCATACTGGCTATCCCTAATCCAAATTTGTCTCTCCTTTCCCATAGTATCTAAAACAGTTTGAATCTTATAGAATTCATGATATACCACATCCTAGGGGTATCAATCATTAGTACATGCCCAGCATATATGGTAGCTCACAATATTTGGAGTAAATGAATGTATCTATTTCTCTTCTGAAGACAGGGAGAAATTTTATCTTTATAGTATTCACAGAGCTTAACACAGTATTCTGCTCAAAGAAGGTACTCAAGAAATAATTGTGTTTACTGTTACTTTGCTTATAAAAGGGATTGCAGCCCAGCTGGCATGGCTCAGTGGTTGAGCATCAACCTATGAACCAGGAGGTCACGTTGATGATTCCCAGTCAGGGCACATGCCCAGGCTGCAGGCTCAGTCCCCAGTGTGGGGCTTGCAGGAGGCAGCTGATCAATGATTCTCTCTTATCACTGATGTTTCTA